CCTCTCCCACTCCCTCTGCTTGTGTTCCTTCTCTTGCTGTCTCTCTCTCTGTCAAATAAATAAATAAATAAATCTTAAAAAAAAAAAAAAAAAAGGCAGCAAGACCAAAGTCCCTAACTTACCAGGGAAGACCCATAGAGCAAGCAGGATATTTTTCAAAAGAAACTTGGCAAGCCAGAAGAGAGTGGCATGATATACTCTTAAGTACTGAATGGGAAAAGTCTGCAGCCAGAATATTCTATCCAGCAAGGTTATCATTCAAAATAGAAGGAGAGATAGAGAGTTTCCCAGAGAAACAAAAACCAAAGGAGCTCATAACCACTAAACCAGCCCTTCAAGAAATATTATAGGGGACTCTTTGAGTGGAGAAATCTCCAGAAACACTCACTTTACAGGTAATACAATAACACTAAATTCATATCTATCAACAATTACTCTGAATATACATAGAATAAACACTCCAATCAAAAGACAAAGGGTGTCAGAATGGATATAAAAACAAGACTCATCTATATGCTGCCTACAAGAGACTCATTTTAGAACTAAAGACACCTGCAGATTGAAAGTGAGGAGATGGAGAAATATTTACCATGCAAATGGAGGTCGAAAGAAAGGTGGAGTAGCAATATTTATGAGACAAATTAGATTTTAAACCAAAGACTGTTACAAGAGATGAAGAAGGAAATAATAAAGGGGACTATCTGACAAGAAGATCTAACAATTGCAAATATTTATGCCGCCAAGATGGGAGCACCCAAATATATAAAACAATTAATAACAAACATAAAGGAACTAATTGATAATAATACAATAATAATAGGGAACTTTAACACCCCATTTACATCAATGGACAGATCATCTAAGCAGAAGATCAACAAGGAAACAAGGGCTTTGAATGACACACTGGACCAGATGGACTTCACAGATATATTCAGAACATTCCATCCCAAAGCAGTAAAGTATACATTCTTTTTGAGTGTACATGGGACATTCTCCAGAATAGATCACATACTAAGTCACAAATCAGGCCTCAACAAGTACAAAAAGATTGAGATCATACCATGCATATCTTCCAACTACAATGCTATAAAACTTGAAGTCAACAACAATAAAAAATTTGGAAAGACCACAAATACATGGAGGTTAAACAATATGCTACTAAACGATGAATGGGTCAACCAGGAAATCAAGAAGATATAAAAAAAAAATTGTGGAAACAAATGAAAATGAAAACACAATGGTCCAAAACATTTGGGATGCAGCCAAAGTGGTCTTAAGAGAGAAGTATATAATAATACAGGCCTACTTCAAGAAGCAAGAAAAATCTCAAATAAACAAACTAACCTTACATCTAAACAAGCTAGAAAAAGAACAACGAATGAAGCCTAAAGTCAGCAGAAGGAGGGAAATAATAAAGATTAGAGCAGAAACAAATGCTATAGAAACTAAAAAAAAAACAATAGAACAGATCATTGAAACCAGGAGCTGGTTCTTTGAAAAATTTAATAAAATTGATAAACCCCTAGCCAAACTTATCAAAAAGAAAAGAGAAAGGACCCAAGTAAATAAAATCACAAATGAGAGGAGAAATAATCACCACCACCACAAAAATACAAACAATTATAAGGGAATATTATGAAAAATTGTATACCAATAAGCCTGGAAGAAATGGATAAATTCCTAGAAACGTATAAACATACAAACTACCAAAATTGAAACAGGAAGAAATATAAGATTGAACAAACCAATGACCAGCAAAGAAATTGAATCAGTAATAAAAAAATCTCCTAAGAAACAAAAGTCCAGGGCCAGATGGCTTCAAATGCAAATTCTACCAAACATTTAAAGAAGAGTTAATACCTATTCTTATCAAATTATTCCAAAAAATAGAAAAGGAAGGAAAAATTCCAAATTCATTCTACGAGGCCAGCATTATCCTGGTACCAAAACTAGATAAAGATTCCAATAACAAAGAAAACTGCAGGCCAATATCCCTGATGAACAAGGATACAAAAATTCTCAATAAAATACTAACAGACAAAATCCAACGGCACATTAAAAAATCATTCACCAAAATCAAGTGGGATTTATTCCTGGGCTGCAAGGGTGGTTCAATATTCACAAATCAATCAATGTGATACAGCACATTAACAAAAGAAAGGGTGATCCTTTCAATAAATGCAGAAAAAGCATTTGACAAAGTACAACATCCATTGTAAAAACCCTCAACAAAGTAGGGATGGAGGGAACATACCTCAACATCATAAAAGCCATATATGAAAAACCCACAGCTAATATCATCCTTAATGGGGAAAAAATGAGAGCTTTTCTCCTACAGTCAGGAACAAGACAGGGATGTCCACTCTCACCACTGTTATTTAACATAGTACTGGAAATCCTAGCTACAGCAATCAGACAACAAAAAGAAATAAAAGTATCCAAATCAGCAAGGAAGAAATCACATTTCACTATTGGGAGATGACATGATACTCTATATAGAAAATCTGAAGACTACACCAAAAAAATTGCTAGAACTGATACACGAATTCAGTAAAGTTTCAGGATACAAAATCAACATACAGAAATCTATTGCATTTCTACACGCCAGTAATGAAGCAGCAGAAAGAGAATCAAGGAACCAATCCCATTTGCAACTGCACCAAAAACCATAAGATACCTAGGAATAAACCTAACCAAAGAGGTAAGAGATCTATACTCCGAAAACTATAAAACACTGATGAAAGAAATTGAACGTGACACAAAGAAATGGAAAGACATGCCATGCTCATGGATAGGAAGAACAAACATTGTTAAAATGTCTATATTACCCAAATTCTACACATTTAATGCAATTCCTATCAAAATACCAATAGCATTTTTCACAGAGCTAGAACAAACAATCCTAAAATTTGTATGGACCCACAAAAGACTCCAAATAGCCAAAGCAACCTTGAAAAAGAAAAGTAAAGCTGGAGGCATCACAATTCCATACTTCAAGTTATATTACAAAGCTGTAGTGATCAAGACAGTATGGTACTGGCTCAAAAACAGGCAAATAGATCAATGGCACAGAATAGAAAACCCAGAGATGAACCCAAAACTACACACATTCAATTAATCTTCAACAAAGCAGGGAAGAATATCCAATGGAAAAAAGACAGTCTTCTCAACAAATGGTGTTGGGAAAACTGGACAGCAACATACAAAAGAATGAAACTGGAGTACTTTCTTATACCATACACAAAAGGACTAAAGGATTAGGATTAAAGACCTGAATGTGAGACAGGAAACCATCAAAATCCTAGAGGACAACACAGGCAATAACCTCTTTGACATCAGCTGTAGCAACTTCTTACTAGGTATATCTCCTGAAGCAAGAGAAACAAAAGCAAAAATAAACTATTGGGACATCAAAATAAAAAGTCTCTGCACAGAGAAGGAAACAATCAACAAAACTAAAAGGTAATCTTTGGAATGGGAGAAGATATTTTCAAATGACATATCTGATGAGGGGTTTAGTATCCAAAAAAATATAAAGAAAATATAAAACTCAAAACCCAAAAAACAAATAATCCCGTTAACAAGTGGGCAGAAGACATGAATAGATATTTTTCCAAAGAAGATATCCAGATGGCCAACAGACACATAAAAACATGCTCAACATCACTCATCATCAGGGAAATGCAAATCAAAACTACAATGCGATATCTTCACGCATGTGTCAGAATAGCTAAAATTAACAACCGAGGAAACAACAGGTGTTGGCAGGATATGGAGAAAGGGAAACACTCTTGCACTGTTGGTAGGAATACAAATTGGTATAGCCACTCTGGAAAACAGTATGGAGGTTCCTTAGAAAGTTAAAAATAGAATACCCCACTATCCAGCAATTACACCACTAGGCATTTACCCCCAAAATACAAAAATAATAATTCAAAGGGATACATGTCCCCAGATTATCAACCAACAGCCAAATTATGAAAAGAGCCCAAATGTCCATTGACTGTTGAATGGATAAAAAAGACGTGATGTGTATACACACACACACACAAACATACAAACATACATACATATGGACATACACACATACACATGATGGAATATTACTCAGCCATGAAAAAGAATGAATTCCTGCCATTTGCAATGACATGGATGGAACTAGAGAATATTATGCTAAGCAAAATAAGTCAGAGAGGGGCACCTGGATGGCTCAGTCGGTTAAACATATGCCTTCAGCTCAGGTCATGATCCCCGGGTCCTGGGATTGAGCCCCACATAGTTAACCCCACATCGAGCCTGTTTCTCCCTCTCCCTCTGCTGCTCCCTCTGCTTGTGCTCTCTCACTCTCTCTCTCAAATAAATAAATAAAATCTTTAAAAAAAAATAAGAGAAAGATAAATAACATATGATTTCACTCATATGTGGAATTTAGGAAACAAAACAAACGATCATAGGGGGAAAAAAGAGGAAAACCAAGAAACAGACTCAGCTATAGAGAACAAATTGAGTGTTACCAGTACGGAGGTGGGTGGGGGAATGGGTTAAGCAGGTGATGGGGATTAAGGAGTGCACTTATTATGATGAGCACTGGGTGTTGTATGTAAGGGTTAAATCAGTAAATTGTACACTTGAAGCTAATATTAATACACTGTATGTTAACTGGAATTTTTTTAAGACTTAAAAAGAAAATATATTTGAAAACTCTAATTAATTGGACATTTTTTTAATTAATTGAAATTTTAATAAATAAATATTTGGCCTAGAAATGTCTTTTGGAATGTTTAAATTTTATGTCCGTTTTTCATAGCAATTTTTTGGTTTTAATAGCTAATATGGTAATTTAGAAAATAGCATTATTTTATTTTTTAAAGCACAGCTGTTAACTATTATTAATATCAAAAATGTATTATAAAACATTTAAATATATCTTTAATTTCTATCCTACAATAATAAGGTTTTTTAGGTATTCTACCATTTTCAGACACTAAAATTGAACTAACCTCAGTATTCTTCAGCTTTTGTAATTCATTTTCCAGCCCCAATTTCTCCTCTAATAACACTTGAAAATCACTTTCCATTTGTTTGAATTTCTAAAAACAAATATTATAGTTTTAGTAATAATGAAAAGCATACATTTCAATATAGAGAAATTATTTGGGCACTTAATTATTAAAGTAAGAAATTCTTCATTAACTCATGAAAATATGAACCATTGGTATTAATCTGCATAATGAATGATAATTGGGGCTGAAAGAGGCAAACAAACTATAAGTACAATGAATAGAAATTTAGAAGACTATATGGTATTATAGTTCAATATTTCAGAAGTGAACGTTTTTTGAGGGATAATAAGGTCTAGTAAAGTCAAAAAAGACAAAGCTTCCCAGCACACATATGCATAGAAATTTCTTGAATAAACTGAGGAAGTATTGAATCTTTAAGATTATTCATCCTGACAATTTCTAGAATCTAACATTATCAAGGGCAAAGTGCAATTTCAAACTGAGAGTGCTATACTTACAGCCTCTAACAAACCTTGATCACTCACAGCTCTGAAAAACAAACCAAAAATATCTATAATGTATTATCCTTTTACATTTTTATTTTTACTTATATAACATACTTACATATTTTCTTTGAAAAAAATTAAGAATACAAAAAAGGTTGAAGTACACTTTGACTACCATTCCAAAAATCCAATTCTCTCTCTAGAGATATTATCAGATTGTTGTGTATCTTTTCAGAACTTGCTTGATGCATTCATAAAACGCTACATGTACCTATTCGATTCTATAATTTTTGCTAGTGGGTTAGATGACTGTTTTGTTTTCTTTTTCACATAAATGGCATCAATGTATATATCGTCCTAAACTTATTATTTTCACTTAACCCAATGTCTGAGATCTACTTATATTAATAAATACAGATATATTTCACTCCTTTTAAGTACCACTTCTTGTTCCATAGCAGGATTTGGCAAACTTTTTCTATTAAGAGCCAGATAGGAAATATTTTAGACTTTGCAGGTCAGATGATCGATCGGTCACTACCCCAGCTCTGCAAAAGCAGCTATAGTTGATAGGTAAATGAATGGGTCTGGCTAGATTTGGCTCAGGGGCTGCAGTTTGCTGAACACTGCTCCAAGGTATGAGTAAACTATATTTTTGATAAATTAGTTATTTATTATAATCCAAATTTTTTAAGCTTTAAGATATAATTAACATACCATCCAATTCATTTATTTAAAGTGTACAATTCAATGGGTTTTAATATATTCGCCAACTTGAGCATCTATTTTAGCTATTAAATTTTAGAACATTTTAATTACCACAAAAGGAAACCCTGTACCCATTAACAGTCACCCCCCATTTCTTCCCAGCACTGCCTCAACACTGGCAGACACTAATCTACTTTTTGTCTCTAGAGATTTGCCTATTCTGGATATTTCATTTAAATAAAAATATATTTATTTTATTTTATTATTGAAAGCTCTTTAGCATAATGTTTTCAAGGTTCATCCATGTTGTGGCATATATCAGTGCTGTGTTCCTTTTAACTGCCAAATATTATTCCATTGTACAGGTGTACACATTTTATTTATCCATTCATCAGTTTATGGGCATTTATATTGTTTCCAATTGGGGCTATTATGAATAATGCTACTATGAATATCCATGTACAAGTTTTTGCTTATATATGTTTTCGATCACTCAGGTATAAACCTAGGAACAGAATTTCTGGGTCATATGTTGACTTTGTATTTAACATTTTGAAGAACTGACAAACTCGTTTCCATAGCAGACACACCACTTCAATTCCACCAGCAATGTATGAGGGTCCCAATTCCTCTGCATCCTTGCCAACAATTGTTATTGTCATCTTTTTTTTCTTACAGCCATCCTAATGGGTGTGAAGTGGTATATCACTGCAGTTTTGATTTGAAATTCCCTAATGACAATGATATTGAATATCATTTCATGTGCTTATTGACCATTGGTATACCTTGCTTCAGAAAATGTCTATTTCAGATTATTTGCCCATTTTTAATTTGGGTTATTTATCTTTTTATTATTGAGGCATAAGAGTTCTTTATATATTCTAGATACAAGTCCCTTATCAAATAGATGATTTGTGAATAGTTCTTGCATTCTGAGTTACCTTTTCACACTCTTGATTTATCATTTGCAGTACAAAAGTTTTTAATTTTATGAAAGTCAACTTATCTATTTTCTTTTCTTTTGTTGGTTGTGCTTTTGGTGTCCTATTTAAGAAGACATTACCTTACTCAAGGCCACAAAGATTTATTCCTATGTTTCTTCTAAAAGGTTTATAGTTCTAGCTCTTAAATTTAGGTCTTTGGTAATTTTTGAGTTAGTTCTAGTGGATAGCATGAAGAAAGGATGCAACTTCATTCTTTCCCATATGGACATCCAGTTGTCGAAATATCAGTTATTAAAAAGACTATTCTTTCCACAAATGATATATCCAATAAAAGGTTAATATCCAAAATATATAAAGAATTTACTGAAGTCAACACCAAAAAAACCGACAATCTGATTTTTAAATGGGCAAAGGACATGAATCGACATTTTTCCAAAGACATACACACAGCAAACAGACAAATGAAAAGATACTCAACATCACTAATCATTGGGGAAATGCAAATCAAAACCATGATAAGATATCACCTCCCACCCTCTATAATGGCTAAAATCAAAAACACAAGAAATAAGCGTTGGTAAGGATATGGAGAAAAAGAAACCCTTGTGAACTTTTGGTGGGAATACAAAGTGTTGCAGCCACTGTGGAAAACAGTATGGAGGTTCCTTAAAAAAAAAAAATAAACAATAGCACTACCTTACAAATCCAGTAATCACACTACTGGGAATTTAACCAAAGAATACAAGAACACTAATTCGAAAGGAGAGATGCACCCCTACATTTATTGCAGCACTATTTACAATAGCCAAACTATGGAAGCAGTCAAAGTGTCCATCAATAGATGAAGTGATAAAGAAGAAATACAGATATAGATGATATAGATATAGATGGATATACACACACATTCAATGGAGTATTTATTCAGCCATATGAAGAATGAAATGTTGTTATTTGCAACAACATGGATCTAGAGGGTACAATGCTAACTGAAATATGTCAGAGAAAGACGGATATCATATGATTTCACTCATATGTGGAGTTTCTTGTTTTCTTTTTTTTTTTTAAGATTTTATTTATTTATTTGACACAGAGAGAGATAGCAAGAGCAGGAACACAAGCAGGGGGAGTGGGAGAGGAGAAGCAGGCTTCCCGCCGAGCAGGGAGCCCGATGTGGGGCTCGATCCCAGGACCCTGGGATCATGACCTGAGCTGAAGGCAGACACTTAACGACTGAGCCACCCAGGCGCCCCCATATGTGGAGTTTAAGAAAACAAAAGAACAAAGGAAAAAAGGGAGAGAGACAACCCAAGAAACAGACTCCTAAATATAGAGAACAAACTGGTGGTTACCAGAGGAGAGGTGGGTAGGTGGATGGATGAAATAGATAAAGGGGTTTAAGAATACACCAAGTAATGTATAGAATTGTTGAATCATCTTATACACCTCTGAAACTAATATGAGACTCTTTTAATTATACTTGAATAAAAAATAAAAAAATTTTTTTAAAAAAGACTATTCTTTTCTCCACTGAATTGTGTTGGCCTCCCTGTTAAAAATCAATTGACCATAAATTTAAGGGTTTATTTCTGGATATTCTATTTTATTCCACTGATGTATATAGGTCTAACCTTATGCCAGTACCACATTGTCTTGATTACTACAGCCTTGTATAAAGTTTTAAAATTAGTTAAATGTAAAAAATCATAATAAAAAAATAATTAATTAAATGTGAGTCCTCCAACTTTGTTTTTCCTAAGATTTCTTTGGCTATTCTGGATTCCTTGCATTTGTACATGAATTTTCAAATCAGCTTGTCAGTTCATCAAAAAGAAAGTTGAGATTTTGACAGATTGCATTGAATCTGTAGATCAATTTGAGGAGCATTGCCATCTCAAGATTATTAAATCTAACAGCCCATGAAAATGGAATATCTATCCATTAATTAGGTCTTCTTTAAGTTCTTTCAATGCTTTGCAGTTTTCAGTGCACAGGTCTTATACTATTTTTGTTAAATTCTTTCTTGTCGTCTGTGATGTTATTTTAAATGGAATTGTTTTCTTTATTTCATTTGTGGAATGTTCATCACAGTGTACTAGTTTCTTAAGGCTGCTGTAAAAAAAAATATCACAATCTGTGTAACTTAAAACAAAAATTTATGCTCTTACAGTTCTGGAGACTATAAATCTAAAATTAAGTTGTTAGAGCCATGCTCCCTCTGAAACTTCTAAAGGAGAATCCCTGTTTGCATCTTCTAGCTTCTAGTAGTCCCTTGTATCCTTTGGATTGTAGTAGCTTAAATCCAATCTCTGCCTCCATTATTTCTTCCCTCTTTGTGTACTGTCTTCTCCAATTATTACAAGGATACCAGTCATATTGGAATAAGGACCAATCCTATCCCAGTATGACCTCATCTAAACGAATTACATCTACAATGACCCTATTTGAAAATAAGTTCATTATGAGATACTAGGAGTTAGAGCTTCAACATAACTCTTTGGGGAACACAATTCAACCTGTAACAATTAGTGTATAGAAATACAATTGATTTTTATTTATAAATATTGTATGCAGCAAAATGTGAATTTATTTATTTCTTCATATATATTTTAGTGGATCCCTTAAGATTTTCTGTATACAAGATCATGAGATCTACAAAAAGAGGTAGTTTTACGTGTTCCTTTCCAATATGAACACTTTCTTTTTATTTTATTTTATTATGTTATGCTAATCACCATACATTACATCATTAGTTTTTGATGTAGTGTTCCATGATTGTTTCCATATAACACCCAGTGCTCCATTCATTACGTGCCCTCTTTAATACCCATCACCGGGCTAACCCATCTCCCCAACCCCCTCCCCTCTAGAACCCTCAGTTTGTTTCTCAGAGTCTACAGTCTCTCATGGTTCGTCTCCCCCTGAGGGGGTGGAGAGAGAGAGAGAGGCCAAGAATATATATTAGAGCAAATCATAGCTGAGAACTTCCCTAATCTGGGGAATGAAACAAACATTCACGTCCAAGAGGCAGAGAGGACCCCTCCCAAGATCAAGGAAAACAGACCAATGCCCCGGCATGTAATAGTAAAACTTGCAAATCTTAGAACCAAGGAAACCATCTTAAGGGCAGTTAGGGGGAAGAGATTCCTTA